TCGCCATCCTCCGCGAGCCCTCAAGAGGGAAAAACGGTCAGAAAGGGACTGGGACTACACACTGACTTTGAGCTCCTCACACATTGAACATGGCACCATGGCACATCATGCACTGCGCTCACGGCAGGCAGCAGTCCGAGGCTTACGCGGATTAGAAGTCGCCGCTGCACCACTGCACCGAACATCTAAAGCCCGGCACGCATGCAAGAAGAGTGTGTTGCCTCCTACCATTTATAAGGCTTAAGGCTTAGGGCCTAGGGTCATTCATGGCAAGAAGGTGACGAGGACTGCCCTGCGCTCGGGTGCCGAGCCTCTGGGTCGCTGGGGGTGTTTCCGCCCAACCACAGCGGGTCCTGATCTTGCAACGCCAAACATGCGACAGCACGAGTTCACGAGTCTCGACCCCCACAACTTTGCAAGGTTGTGGCCCTCAACCCAAAACAGGATCCCGAAGAGCCATCACGTCTGGCCCGAAGCCAACCTCCGACTTAGCAAGGAACGAAACAACACACGAAGCGAGCATCTTCCGGATTAGCAATGCATGGCATGCATGCATGCATGCTGTTTTTGACTATAGTCAGCAAGCTTCGTATGCATGTGTGTGTGTACATTTATATACATATATATAATCACATACACACACATGAATATACGTGTTTTCGTTAATTTAACGACTCATGTATGTTGTGTCCCAATGTAGAAAGGAATGTGCGCATGCATGTACGATCAAATGCATTGAAAAGAGGAAGCAGTGGAGACAGACAGACTTGTAGGCAAGCAAACAAGCAGGAATAGAAAGAGAAAGGTGACACAAAGAAGGAATAAGTTAAGCACAGCTAGGAACATGGATGATTCATTACAGTAGGTCGCATGTGAATACAATACAATGACGTGGTTTGCCCATCCACACAACAATTCGGCAATGCACAACTGCGTCAGCTTGAAAGCACCACCTAAGCAGAACTGGCCTGAGGCCTGCCAGCATGCCAACACCTGCCATCGAATGTACCACACTGAAAGTTGTAGACGGCACTGGGGGTTTCAAGATGTTGCTTTCGACACCCAGTGCAAGCGCACCCGGTTTTATTCTGCAGGGCGACCGGTACCAAGGAACACCTCTGCCCTCCATACGTCACGCTGCCCACAATCGTTTGAGCCGAAGCAGATCACTTCCCCGCTGGCGCAAACCGCACAAGTGTGCCCAGCACCGGCGCTCACGGCCACGACCGTCCCGAGGTCCCTTGGCACATTGCACTGGCCCTCTTTGTTGTCTCCGAAGCATTCAAGTTGCCCAGTGCGGGCACTTACGGCGCAGGTGTGTGCTGCACCGGCAGAGACGACCTTGACAGGTCCCATGTCTTCTGGCACGTCACATTGGCCATGCGTGTTATCTCCAAAGCATACCAATTGGCCGTTCGCCTTCACTGCGCAACTGTGTGCCGAGCCGACCGAGGTCTCCACCACAAGGCCAAGTGTCTCTGGCACGTTGCACTGACCGTACCGGTTATCTCCGAAACACACCAGCCCGCCGTCGGCCGTCACTGTGCACGTGTGAGCGGTGCCTGCCGACACCATTGCAACAGCCCCCAAATCCGAGGGCAGCAGAACCGGACCATCATCGCCGGAGCCAAAGCACGTCATTTGCCCATCCGTTTGAATTGCACAGGTGTGGTAGTTGCCTACCGCGACGTCCAGGACCGCTCCGAGGTCTTCTGGCACATCGCACTGGCCATATTCATTTTCCCCGAAACAGATCAACTGCCCACTTACCTGTACCGCACATGTGTGGGACTTTCCTGTAGAGACCGACAAAACGGGCCCCAAGTCTGCGGGCACGCTGCACTGACCATGTCTGTTGTTCCCGAAGCAGAACAACTGCCCCTGTGCACTCATCACACAGGTATGTCTCTCTCCAGCCTCTGCACCAGCCAAACTGTCGGAAAAGGCTGCCTGCATCACGATGACCAGGCACTCGACGCTGCGCTTCTTCAGCCACCAACTGAGTCCTTGCCTTTCTCACATGAAAGAATCAACGGAGAGTCCCTGTGCTACTTCCGATGCGGGATCTCTCAAACTTTAGAGACCCCTTCTACGAATATGCTCTCCCAAGGTCCGAGACCAATGCCTAGAATCCTTTCAAAACCACACAAAACAAAAAAAAACTTAAAAAAGTAAACAAACTAAAACCCCAGCACCCCATGAGACTAACACCCAACCACTCACCGGCCTTCGCCAGAGGCCCGCGCCAGCACCAAAGCTGCCGCCTCCAAGTTTTCGCTTCTGAAAAATTAGATGAGCTGCTATAAGAGCTAGGAAATGGGTTGTTATATGAATTACGCTCTCACAACTCGGACAAGCGTGTTACATGAATTGGTTTATGGGTTACTAGAAGGGGCCTGAATCATTGGCGGCCTTATTTCTTAGGACTCCTCACTATACTGAATACTGCCTCACTATACGTGTTAGTAACTGTTAGTATGTGTGTCATTACAGTGGTCCCTATAAGGGCTGGTATAAGGTTGGGCAGAAGGCTTATCGGGTTTGCTAAAATCGAGTCGCGGCCCCAACAGCTGGACAGGGTTTCGACTGTAACGACTCGCACAAGGCAGGCAAGGTTACGTCGGGCGGTGGCTCTGCTCTTCCATCTGCTCTACTGGGTCTTTTGGTTTAGGGCTTAAATACTCGGCTCATGAGCCCTATCACAACTCGGACTCCGACTCATGATGGGTTCAAGGTGATGTATTCTCAAAACCCGCTCCTACCCTGTATGGCTTCTCACGGCCGAGGGCTTAAGGGGCCTAAGAGTCTGACATCCGGTTCCCTCCTCGCAGCAGTCGCCCTGGAGCAGGACGGCCAAGGGAGCCCGCAGCCATGCTCCAGCCGTGCCCAGTCATGCTGAGAAGCTCAAGGCCAAGGCTAGGAAACGGTGTCGGCAGTGAAGGGTGCAAGGTTTCACTGCGTTCTTGCCTCCCCGCATAGCTAGGTCAACAATCTCAGGATTTCAATCCTTAGGCTAGAACCTTGCTCACAATGTGACGCAACTAGTGTAATGAGTGGGTTACAGACTGTGGTGGGAATGTCCAGACCAACATGGACACATGCAAGCCTGGAGCATTTGGGCTATGTCAAATGCAGAGCCGGCATTGCTTGAAAGAGTCGAGGAACTTTTCAGCGGTGACAACAAGTTAAAGCTCCGGTCGTCTCTAGCAGGAGGGCTCGCATGGTACACTTGGTCGAATTATTGATGCAAAATCCGTGGTCAAGCGCGTGAGAGCATGCACGCAGCGTACACACAATTAACCTGCCTCCAGAAAGAATCCCGTGCTCCATGCAAGAGTTGAACGGCAATGCACTCACGAGATACAGGCCAGATGCAACCTGGACTTTCCTGAAGTACGACCTGCCCCGTGCACATATACAGATCTGGCCTGCTGCCGCTGGCACAGGCGGCACGGCGGCGACAAGGCAGAGATTCCGACGAAGCGCAAGGCAGCGGGAGCTGATGTGGCTGCGGGCATGGCAGACTTGAAAGGTGAGATTCACGAGGTATCTCAATGGTCCAACACTAGAGATCGTCCGACTGCAGGAACCCTGAGGGCAGAACCTTCTCCTGGAAGCGCAGGGTCGACTCGCCCACGAAGGCGATGCTCTCCATCTGTCCGGCTGGAGATGTCTAGATTGTGTTTCGTAAGCCCACATCTAGAGAGATGGACAAATAGATATCTTGCACTTGCTCATCTATCGATCTTCTTCCTGTCACTCTGCTTGCTCTCCGCCTCTGTCACTCTCTCTTCTTTCTTTCTTTCTGCCGGAGCGACCCTCAGGCCTTCGGCCGGCCAGCCCGACCACTGTTTTTATGGAGTGGCCGGCATTGGGTTTTTTGTAATGACCGCCGCAAAAGAAGACACCATTTGTCCTATGGGCTGTTCCACTGCGAGCCCGACCTTCCTTCTACACACACAAAAGAGAAGGCCACAGCACCCCTCCCTGCGCGCGTGCGCGCACTGGCTGTTCGGTCGCATTGTGAAAGTTATTTCCGATGAGGGCCGAGGTCCCCGAGCAGCAACCCATAGTACTAGTTGTAAAACCCCCGGCCTCATCTGGCGCAAACCGGCTCTGCCCCCCCGTTCGCTGTGTGTTACTCACTTACTTCTTTGTTTCTTCGTCGATGCAAGCGGAACATCCGGTCGTGCTCGAGGCTTCTGTTGTGGACTTGTGCCACGATAACTGCGGCATGCCTCAGCGCAGGTCGACGAGGCATGGGGCGTGGAGCTTGAAAAGGAGGGGAACAGGGCAGCCGAGAAGCTCTGCAGCGCTGCAGAGCTTCAGAAACGTTTCGCACTGCGCTGCTCAGCGCGTGGCCCTGCTGTGCTCTATATTTCCCACGTCAGGCCCTGACGTAGACCGGTTCACGGCGCCTGTGCATGCGTCCATCCAAAGGGACGCGTCAAGATAAGACCAGCCAAAAGCCGGAGGCTGTCAAAACCAAGGTTGGCTTATGCTGTCTTCACTCTTCACATCCATATCATGACCCATGACCCCCGGCTTCCCGAGAGGGCATCCATTACCTCGCCAAAGCGATTTAAACTACGAGTACTGTAAAGTCGAAACACCACATTGTGGCTGCATGCGATGGTTGGTCGCAGAGATCTCACGCGACAGCCATCGAAGGGCCAGTCCTCACAGACCAAAGTCTCACATCGTCTGATGATCCCTACAAAACGGCTAACGTACAGCTTCATGCTGTGACCTCTGGACGACCTACAGCAACCGGTACCACGAATCGAATGCTCTGGCGTTCGACCCCTTCGCTGCTCCTGATACACGACCATCAAACCATGATGTCCACGGCATGGCGAGTGGTCGATGTGCCATAGAAGAGAGGCCGCAAGTTCTCCGCGACCTTAGCTTCAAGTGCGGTTGCAGGGCCATGAGCTGGCCTCCACATGCCGCTCGGAGGACCAGCTCCTTGTTGGCGGGCGCCCGCAGGGTCAGCGCGATCTCCTGCAGACGGGGCTGGAGGAAACCGACAAGACGACGGATGTGCACTCCTGTATAAGGCTGGCATAATGAGAGAAGTTCTCGAAGAAGCCGATGCTCCTTGGCTGATGTTGAATCTTGGGGCCGGCGTGTTCAGAAGTGCCAACTCCAGGCTTTCAGGCTCCCCTACTCCGAAACTCTCGCATATTCTGGCTTCTGCCTCTGCTCCCGCCAAAGACGCCTACAGCTACGTGTACAATAAAAACAATTCCTTCATCCCAAGGCACAACTCAGCTCCAATGTTCAGCACGTGGATGGTCACCGTCCGGCCACGGTGGGTGCCGAAGTAAGGGTTCTCCGCGGTGACAGCCTCGGACGCAACGGTTGAAACCTTCAGCTCATCCTGAGCTCTAAACCCTAAACCCCATAGCGGTTCTTGCTTCCTTGTCTGGCTTGTGGCAAAGCCGCCCGCCTGGAAGGAGCCGAAGGCAAACACTTTCAAATAGGTGCTTCCTGGCCGGCTGCAAAGAAAGTAAGTGCCTTGCAAAGCCTCTCGTGAGAAATATCTCTAGGCATGCTGATACATCTATCCATCTACCTGTGTCAGTATGTCAGTATGTCAGCCAATCGACCGGCCAGCCCACCCACAGGTAGGCAAACAGTCAGCCTGTCAGCCCGTCGGCCAGTCGTGCTGCCAGCATCATATCCCAGTTCACACCCATTGGAGAATTGGTTACACAGCGTTAAATGGCACGCACTCAGCAAGGTAGTAAACCGACTTGCTTGGATCGGTGTCCTGGTGCCAGCTGCAATGTCTGGAAAGCCCCGAAAGCCGCTTCCACCGCAGAGGCGGCAGGGAACTCCTTGACCATAGAATGTGTGGTCGCTGCAGGCTTTCAACGCTTGGGGCAGTCCGGGATTCCTGCTAGGAACACCTCTAAGTATCCGATGACTTCTTTCGACCCATTGCAGTAACCCTCAGCAGCAACAAGCAGCAGCCACCCATGCTCGATAGCTTGCGCATGCTTGCGCCAGGGGACGAAAACCGGGAAAAGCTCTCGTGGCACCTGGCGAGGTCTTTTCAGCAGGGCACATCTCGGCAACTTCGGCTTGCAGCCCGCCACACCCTGAAACAGCAACGCAAGGTGAATTTCGCTGAGGCACGCCAGGCTTCAGCGGCGTAGTGGAATTGGGGAAAAGCTGTGCCACATAAGCGGGGTCGTTTGTCGAGAAGCTGTTCAGCACCTTAGCTTGAAGTCTGGAAAAACTCTGAGAACGTTTCTTCGCTGGCCCACTGGCAAAGCTCAAAAGACGTAGCTGACGAGCACCGGGACGTGACACAGTCCAGCCCATTCAGGTCAAGACACCGCCACGACTTCGCTAGCGCCGGCGGCTACTGCCTGTGCGATCCCAGTGCCGTCGGAGTAGCCACCATCCTGGGGACCGCGCAGGCGCTGCAACTCGGCTCTCGGGCTCCGGTTCGGGAAAAAAGTCCAGCAAAGCTTAGCTTAAGCTTGTTGCCCAGGCGTCCACCAGGGCGTGCACGGCGCTTTGCGCGAATGCGCTCAGCGTGGTGGGGCTGACGTTGGAGCGCAGGCTCGCCTGAGCTGAGTTCATGGCATGTCGGGAAATGATCGGAGGCGAAGCCCAGTTTGCGAAAGCCTGCGCAACCACAAACGGCCTAAAGGACAGGCTTCCCAAAAAGCCCAGCAGCGAGAAGTTGCTCGGCGTCACTGAAGAAGTCCTGCCCCTGAAGGCTCGGGGATTACGAGTAAATAACGAACTGAAGCACAGGACCTTCGGAGGCCGTTCAACATCGGCCACAGGCAAAGCTCAAGCCGCCTGGTCGCCGAGCCCGATCCACACGCCCACCTCAGAGGAACAAAGCCCACTGTTCGGCCAGCTGGGTCAGATCTGCTAGCCGATCCAACCTTGCACCATGATCACGCAAGATCTTATTGCGACAGTCATCACCGAAAGCTCTTGGACTTGGCAGCCCACCTCCGCCTTCAGCAGGTTGGACATCTGGACAGGGAAGAGCCGACATCTTTTTTTCTGTTGGGACCCTCGATTTCGGCTCCCCAGACTAAGTCGAATCTCTCTGCCTCCGCGGCCACCACTCCGTCGATCAACTCAGAACCAAAGACAGCAGACGAGGCAGCGGCAGCCCTGCAAACAGCACAAGCCCATGCGGGTCACGGTCATGACGTCATGTCAAATCATGTCAAGAGCGGCTGCAGAGACCAGCGGCCGTGCCGAATCTGTTCGAGACTTCGCCTACTGCCGAGAGCAAGACATGCCTGGCAATCGGCAGGCGGCCACTGTTCTTCAGTAGGCTACCGTTGGTGCCGTCCTTCGGGGAAAGGGGAAAGGCATCGAAGTAGCTTCATTGGCTGAGAGTTATGGCTTTGGGGAAGCATTGGTTCCTCTCTCTGTCTTCCCTGTCGCTCCAAAGCCCTGTGCGATCCCGCCCCCGGCCATGCGCTTCTCTTCTCTTTCCTGATCCTCCGGCTCAGGCCAAGAACAAGAATCTTGCAGTGGCCGGTTCTGGCGTGTCCACTATCCATAATAGCTGTGGCTTCGGTCAATGTTCCATCACCTAGAATCAGCTAGACTCGCTGCAGGTTAGTCGACATTGAATGGCCTTACCTTGTACCCCCTTTTCTCTGTCCAGCGCTCTCGCTTGTTCCTGGTCTCTTTGCGCTTCAATGGCGACTCAAGCCCCCCGAGCCGTTGATCGTGCTTCTCTGTACACCTGAAAGGCGTAAACTTGGCAAGTAGGCTACAAGTATGGGACCAGTAAGGCACCCGCCAGCTGGCTCGTTCTGAAACGTACATAGGAAATTACACCCTGCCAACTTGACAGCCGACCCAGCCAACAGGCTGCCGCTCTCCCGCCCGCTCTTTCTTCGTCGGCCAACAGAAGCAAGGCACCCTAGGCGGTGACAAGTGGAGTCGCTGATCTCGCTCATGCTACCTGGACCTGGAATTGCCTACCTCGCTCTCCACCCGGCTGACCCACCTCACCCAAACAAAAAGGCCAACATAGCCAGCGCACATCCGCACCCCAGGTATACCTCCTGTTACCTCCTGGCCCGCCCGTGGTCCAGTCGAACCGGCGGAGCTGAAACGGTGGTGTGGTCAAGGAGGCCAGACAACTGGTACTGGAACCTCAGCAGGTGCTTCTGTTGCAAAGAGATGTTAATGTATGCCAGGCTGCCACGATGCCCGGAACAGCATCGTATGTACAAGCAAGTGCGAACAGCTCGCTTGCAGGCCGGGAAGCTGGAGCACAGCCTTGCGGATGAAACGGCGCTTTCAAAAGGCCAAAGGCTACGAGGCTTCTCTTGGGGAGGCCAGGCCTCTGGAAGCGCCACGTAGGGCAGCGGCGCGCGGCTCTGGAGACCTCTTCAAGTCGCTGAAGAAATGAGGCGGGGACGGAGGTGGCGGGATCGAATCTCCGGCTCATGTCACAAGTCGGATGTCAGCACTCAGCACTCTTTCGGCTCATGGCTCGCGACGAGTTTTGCAGCAGCTTAGGTGGCCCAGCTGCCTGCACCCAGCGTCACGGAAAACCAGGCGGGCAGCATGGAGATTGGAGCCTGGACCTCTGCAATCTTCTGCTGCAAAATAAGAAGTCTGCAAGACTTCAACATGGAATGGAGAACCTGTTTTAGAAAAGCTGTCCGGAACGAAGGACTTGCATGAAGTGAAAGATTGGGCATCTGCATAACGAAACCACAATTTGCATTGCTTGGTGAGCTGGCTTGCTCTGCTTGCTTCAGCTGCTGGCGTGCCCATGCAGGCGGTGGCGTTCCCACGCTTAGCACTTTGCTCTGCCTTGCTCCGCATTCTGTCGCATTGCGCAAGCTATCAACCCGCAGCGACCTATAAACCACGCCTTCCGGCAATAAACGCCGAAATGAACACCCGCAACTTCCCAACTCAGAAGAGCAAGTCAGTGAGTCAGGTGGCATCGTAGGTCACATGCGAGAAGAGCCTTCCTCAGGACAGAAGCATGCTGCAAGGCCCGATTCGACTGGGGAACTTCGACCGCTAGGCCGCCAGGGAAAAAAAAAACAGGATGTTGGGGGACATGAGCCTGTATCGGACACTATGTCCGCTAGCATGTCGCCTCCTCATCTCAAGGCCCGAAGAGCCCAACCGAATCTGCCCCAAGAAATGAAAGCTGAATCCAGAAGCCTGTCAGACTCACTTCCCAAAGGATCTACATCTCTTCAGAGTCCGGCCTTGTGCTACGGACCCACGCTGTCCAGATGTAGGCAGCCTGGGCTGGGGGAAGAGGACGGCTTTTTGAGCTCGGGACCCCAACATGCACCTCAAACCGTAAGGTGTATGTTGGGGCATTTTATATTCAAAGCTTAAAGAGAAGAACCTTTCTTGTAAGGAGCCCCATTACTCATTAGCTATTGCCTCCTACTTCGCATGGACAAGCTCGAGTTGCAGGGTGGTTTGGGTGCACTCATTGAAGAGACCGATCCTTTTTCACGGATCCCTGAACGCCCCTGAGTCGGAGCAGAAAAAGCCATCGCCCAGCAGCAGCAGCGAGTGATCCACCAGCCAAGTCTGAGCGAAAGCAATACTACTCAGCTTCCCGCTTCATCTCCGAAGCTGGACAGAGCGACCATGCAAGGCATCTGGTTGATGCTTTGGGCCTCGGGCCTCTGCAGAGGTCTCCACCGAACTTCAAAACGCCCCCACTCCCCACCTGCCTTCCCGGCAGCCCCTTTGCAGGCCAAAGTTGAGCCAAGCCTCTGTGAGAGGCACGAGCTGTGGATGAATCTCAATGTCCACCACTTCTTACTTTTTGACTGTTGGGGCAGGTGTCGTTGCAATGCAAGGCTTTGGTCGAAACAGTTTAAGCTGCCTTGCTGACCTTACTGTCCTCATTGTTGTTGTGACCACTCCTTGAGAGCATCCCAATACCAACTCGGACTCTAAGGAATCATTTGTGCATGCTCGGGCGCGGAAGCTCCTGCGAGATCCCTGCTGTCGAGTTCCTGGGGGCAATTTCGCGCGACTGCCATGCCCGAAACGCTTGGATGTGCCAGATTTTCGGCTTCTGCGCCGAACAGGAAGTCTCAAGGAATGCAGGATCTCGGCTCAAGGACGTTCACTGTCACACGGTTGGCAGACAACAACTGGTGCCTTCAAGACGTCAAAGGCTTTTCAACTTCAAAATATCTCCTTGTAGTACAAATTGCGGTGGAGTGACCCCGTAATTATGTAGACAACTCGGCTTCCGGGGAAGCGAGCCTCTGGCTACTGGCGACAGGGTGGAACATGCATGGGAAGCTCTGAAACCACGAAACTTGTTCAGCTCAGTGTCAACAACACGTCCACGAAGTGGTTCCAAGTTAAGCCAGTCGCCAAGAAGAACTGCGCGAGAAATATCCTAAGTCAGAGAAACGCCCACACCACACTCACGGCCCCCAGTTACCGGAAAATTACGATAATACATCGACCCCGTCACCTGGCTCGCAGATCGGCACGGGTACTTCGCCAGGTCACAAGGCAACCTTGCTGGGCTAGAGTCGTGTCTTCATCGCCCGTGCCAAACATCAGCTTGACCAGCAGTCTCACCAGCGTCTGGAAACCATCAAACCTGCTTAGTGCAGGGGCGAGATCGGGGTGGAGCAAGGTGAAGAGCTTCCTCTTGCGGCGCAGGACCAGTCATCTACAAACCTCAAGCTGCCCGCCCCCGGGTTCAGTACACCAAGGCTTCCATAGACCATGGGCGAAAATTCATCTGTTAACCCAATGTGGCTCTTAAGTCGGCGGGCGCCTCTTTTCATCCACTGCGGTGGCTGTGAGCCACGGCCGAATCCAAGACTCCTTGACGACCGCTCTGGTTTGTTTGACGTGGCGCTCTGGTACTGTTCTTGTTCCACATTGTCTATTCTGCTTACTCTTCATGCAGACCATTGCTATGATGGGCACAACCATCACCATCATTGCAGTCCTCCTGTTGTTGCTGCCGCGACCTAGACCACGACGACGACCGCGACCACGACGACCACGACGACAACCATCATCAGCATCATCATCATCATCATCATCATCATCATCATCATCATATCACCATCATCAGAAGCATCTCCGTATCACCATCAACTAATGCACTATCGCATACCATCGTCATTATCATCACCATGAGTCCTGTTAATACTGTCTTCTACAGCAACAACCCCAGCATATGTGGCTTTTTGTCATTACCACCACGACCTCACCCGCTCTTCCGTATCAATTCATGGCTGGCTTTGCTTGTCCGTTCGGAAATGTGGGCGTGGAAGCCTAGACTCTCGCAGCTCAGACTGCAGCGGTTTCGTCCGGATGTTTACGCAAGTACTTGCCGTGTAGTCTCTTCGGAAATCTAGATGGGAATGTATGTGAACCGACCCGTTGCTTGCAGCGGCGGAGCGCTCGACAAATCTAGTACAGGGTTGCGAAGTTGACGCACGTGCACCCGCCGGAAGTTTCGGGTCCATGTGGGAGCCTTCAGCGAAGACTAGAATGCCAAGATGTCGAACAACAAACTGCTTCTTCTAATGAGACTCTTAGATGGCCCGGCCCGCGAAAACTCAACACTCACCTGGAACTTCGAAGCTGCCGAGGACGGGTCGGCCGCCATGCCTCCGATAGTCTTCTCATGGAGCGCGTCTTCCACAGTAAAACTGTGTGTCTTTCCGTATGTGTGCATACACGTACGTACGTATGTATTTGTGTATGTATGTATGTATGTATGTATGTATGTATGTATGTATGTATGTATGTGTGCACGTCTGCATGTGTGCATGTAAGCGGGTATGCATGTATGCGTGTATTCTGTATGCATGCATGCATGCATGCATGCATACGTACTATATGTATATATAACTATAGTTACAAATACATATATATATATATATATTTTTATTTATTGATTTATTTATTTATTTATTGATATTTATTATAGTATATTTGTATGTTTATGGTGGTGTATACATACATATATATGTATATATATATATATGTACTTGTTTATTTATCTATGTACATACATTGCCGTGTGTCGATTGCTTGTCTGCGTGCGTGTGTGTGCATATGTCTGTCTGCATGTATGAATGTTCTCGGTTCCTGTCCTTTCTTAAGGCCGTGCATTGGAGGGCTCGTGCGATGCCGTCAGCCCGGGCCACCCGATCTACCGTGCGAGCGTTGCATGTAAGTAGTCGAGGCAGCTGTAGACATCTTCGGGCTGTAGCTGTAGCAAGCCCTCATGCCTAAGATTTCCACAACCGACCATAGACAGGTTCAACAAGACTCAGTGCCCTCAATAGCGAACTGTGGACGCTTTGAAACACTCGAAGGATCGAACTCTGGTCTGCAACCCCCCTTCTCAACTCACCCATGTCAGGGCCTGAAGAACCTCAACCCTCCCCACGCACAGACACAGACGTCTCACCATGACCCACCAGACCTCGCAGCAGCTGCAGGAAGGACTCGGAGAAGAGCAGCTCTGAGCTAAACCTGGCAAGAAATTTTGGGCTCCCGCAAACTGCCACTGTCACCAGGTCGCTTCTGGCATTTATGGCTCAGCTTAGGGAGGTTCAAAGTCCAGGCCGATCTTGCTACAGGTGGTTTGCTCACCTTCCGCTTGCCATTCGGAGTGAGACAGGCTTCCCCTCCCCTTCCAGGTGGAGGCACCAGGAAGAGCCGCTGACGCTGGAGAGCAGCTGGAAAGGTGCCAGGCAGTTCCCCACAGCCTGTCGAGGCTTGGGTGGAGAGCTTTGGGTGGGCGAAGAGCCACCTTGTGCTAGCTGAACTCGAACATACTCGAACATTTCTGAACTTCCAGCTCATGTTGCCCGCCTGATCTGCCTCGCCCTCCGCCAGGCCCACAAAGAGCCCTGCTTCCGCAGCCACAGCGCGGGCGCCGCCGCCCTCCGAGAAAAACTCTTCTTTCTTGGCCGCTGTCGATCTACCGGTATATACCTTCAACCCCTCTCACAAGAGACCCCCTTCACTGATGCCGCAGTGACTCCCGGAAGCACGCCTCCGTTCAAAGTGTCGACTCGCACGCTCCCTCCGACAAGACGACAAGATAGAGATGGCATAAGACAGTGTTGAAACCCAGCATCACACCTTGCACCGAGCTCCCTCTGCTCCCTCCGTCCCTGCTTCGCTCCGCCTGCAAAGCCAACGCTTTGAAGGCAGCCGCAGCCGGTAAAAGCGCTGCAAGCAAGCGAAGCATGATGAAAGAGTGACAGCAGTAGCCCCTTGGTGTAAGCCGCCTGCTTTTTACATTAAAGTGGGTTGCTTTTGCCTCCTTCATTGAAGGGGCGTCCCTTCCTTCGAGGCTCCGGCCTGGCTTCCGAGGAACCGTTTGCCTTGCTACACTCCTCGCTTTGCCGTTTAGGTTGGTTTAGGGCATTTAGGGAAGTGTGCTTTTGGGATTCGTTCTTGGGCTTCCACACGGCTTTTTGTTCGACGCCCAGGACTCAAGCCACTTCTGGCAGCTGCAAACACAAGCACAGCTTTCATGCAAGCACTGATGTGACGTTTACAACAAGGGACCTTCAAAGGTAAACCCAAACAGCACCTCTAAGTGGTACTGTACTACAAGATACTTCCCTGTGCGCCGCAGATAGGAACACCTGCAGATGCACTTGTGGTCTCGCTGCAAACTGGCGAACTCGACGTTGCGCCAGGCTTTCACCGAACAGCGTCACGGCAACTCGCCCGCCGCCCAGCATCCATGACAGATTGCAACCATCCAGGGCTGTACTGCATGTCAATCACAAAAGACTGCGATGACCCGTCAGTCTACAGAAGCTAAGCTACCAGTGAACTGCTCCACCACGGTACCTCTTTCAACCAGTGCGACTTAGTGACAAGCCCAACCCGGTCGAGATCCGTCCCGGTCCGGGGGCCAGGAGATTTCAGTAGTCCTGATGCATTAGCCTCGGGCCATACTAGGACTGCTAGGACAATGGGAATCGAAGCAAGACTAATTTGTCAGTTTCTGAAAGAATGGACTCCGAAACAAACCTAAATGGCATCTTGTAGGGTCCTTAATGACTTCTTATGCAAGGACCCCTAAGAAAGACCTCGAATTTTCAGAGACCGACTTCCATATCAAACCGGGAGGGGCGCAAGCATGGGCTCGCGTCCTCACGCGACTCCCCACGAAGCAAGAACCCTCCCAACCGAGGTCAGTTCAGCGGAGGCAGCGTCCTCGGTTGGCATCAGCCCTTCAGCTCTTAAGCAACTCTTCCGTTTCGGAGGCATGCCTCAACCGATGCAGAAACCCGAAACCAGAGCTCGAAGCTTGCTTTCCAATGCCCAGCCCGGAGGGTAGAACACTTGCTTGTAACTTTTTCTTTTCGTAGATGCAACTTTTCACCTTTTCAGTCAACTCACTTATTTTCAATTTTCCTTGGCTCCGAACACAGCAAATCTCTGCAGAAGGTTGCAACGCAGTCATCTTAGTTGTAACTTTTTCTCTCTCAGATGTAACTTTTGGCGGGCGCGGGATTCAAGACGCCCCTCTTTTCCCTGTGAGTGCCTGTAAAGTCCTGATTTTCTTGTGTTTCCTACCTTACTGGGGGTCCTTACAGACTCCACACAGGTTCTGCTCCGAGAAAGCCGTCCTGTTGCTTTCTTTTTATTCAGATCCTAAGAAATTGCGTTTTGCTCGGCTCCTAAACACGGCCGAATACTTAAGACGCCCCCTGCTGGGGTTAGCAGGAAAGGCTTTCCTCGTCGGTTCCTGCGGGATTCACTCCTTAGAGTTGTCGTCTTCGGTCAAGGGTTTCTGCTGAGTTCACTCCTTAGGGTTTGGACAAGGTTCCTGCTGGAAACCTCAGGCTTCGGCTTTTCGCTTTGGGAATTCACTCCTGAGAGCATTCGTCTTGGGTCAAGGCTCACTCCTTTGACTTTTCGTCTTCGGCCAAGGGTTCCTGCTGAACTCAAGGTTCCCGCTGGATTCACTTGGGGGAATTCACTCATTAAGGGTTTGGCCTTGGGTATTCTAGGGTCTTTGCCTTGGGTATTCACTCCTTAGGGCTGTCGTCTTGGGTATTCACTCCATGGGATTCTTGTCTTGGGTTGAAGTTCCTGCTGGATTCACTCCTTTGACTTTTCGTCTTGGGTATGACTGTCTGAATGAGCTCGTTCCCTCCTCTTACGCAAAGCCTGACTGCCGGGCTGGTTGGGGCTAAGTGGGGTGGGTGGGGCAGGTGGGGTAGTGGGGGCAAGTGGGGTAGTGGGGTAGTGGGGCTAGGCGGCGCAGGCGGGGTACGCGGTAGGTTGGGTAAGTAGGAAAAACGAAAAAGTGGCACCTAATTGCAAGAAGTTGCATCGAAGAATATACCAGCTCGGAGTTCTCCGTCCTGCGCCTGTGCGGCTCAGCAACACCAGCAAAGGCCTGCCGGCGGAGCAGGCGGAGCCGAGAAACTATCCAGGAATTGAGGGCGACCGTCTGGGCCAAGGGCGAACCCAAAGGGCGTCACCCGACCCTTTACAGCAACCTCCGGAAGGCCCCTGAAGACCTGGCGAAGTCGCGGGAGCAGCAGCCACGGTGTCCTGATTGAGTCAGGCTGGTGCGAAGCTTCCTGTTCTTTCTCTGAATGTTTCGATCTTTGCTGAGCCCCTTCGCTGAAAGCTTTGACCCTCCTCGCGCATCAGATCCTGCCGCTGACAACCTCCTACCAGTAGCAAGGGTTTAGCAGCGCCGGGCCTCGATGCGAGGTGAAGAGTCAGGTCGGGTGCCTGGCGGTCGCACCAGCAGCTTCTAGGGGCTCTGTTTTGTTGGGAAGCAAGCACCGGCGGTTTTGTAGGCAGCTGAGCCCTAACACCACAGATCTGAAAACCTCAAAGCTCGAAGCTTTTGGGGGAAGCGCTCAAGACCTGCCTGGAGAGCTCTCAGTGTCGCCGCCGGCAGTCTGGCAAGACCAAACGCCGACACGACTTGAGCACTCTCGGACATGCCGACTCTAGTGGAGCCAAACTCAGCAGTGACAGAAACAAGAAAAGGGGCCCAAGAGAGAGCCCTGCCTTTACATCGCTGACATCGCCGCGGCTGTGGCCGTCCTGTGTGCTTCCAGCCTGCCAGGAGTCGACGAGAAGTGATGCCGAGCGGCTCAGCAGCTCATAACCCGACACTGATAACCTCCCCGCAGGTCTTCGGCCTCGGTGGAGCTCTTGCCTGTCGGCGTGGCCTCCTCCGTCGCCGCCTCGGTCACCGCCTGCCACGGTGAAAAACCATCGGAATAAACTCTCCCTCTACAAGTACCATGCTGCAAGGATCCCCACAGTGCATGGATACGGTACGATGTACCACCAAAAAGGTGGCTGAGGCCAAGAGGCGCGAACTTAGGACCGGCCGGGCCCGGCCCCCGGGCCCCCCCTGCGCCTTCTCCTTGTTGGGGGCGAAGGGCGCCCGGAGCTCGGGCTCTGGCTGCAGCAGCGCCGCCACGGGGATGGGCACGGCATCCTCCAGCCGAGAAAGAAAAAGCTCTGCTCTTAGAGAGAACTTTATAAAGAACTTCGGGGTTGGGAGGATGGTCTGAAGGGCCGGCTTTGGAGTTTTCAGCACTCACTCTCGGACATGCCGGCTTTGGAGTTTTAGGCTCAAGGCTCGCGGGGCTCAAACCCCTTCAGAACGGGAGCTCCCTGTGCAACTCGCGGCAGCGCTTCTCGACAGCATTCCGCCAGCGACGGAACTCGGAGGGCATCAGCAGAGTCCTTGGGCAACAGAAATCCGGCACTGCACAGCTTCGTCCTGACTTCGCTGGTCAATTGTCTCCGGGCCACAGAACCCACTTCGGGAGGAAGGGGATGTGTGGATCCACGGCCTGAGGAGTTCAGCGTGGGAAGCTTGGGCTGGGCTTGAAAGGAGATCGGGTCCCGGCCGAAGTGGTGGTGAAGGTCACGCCCTTTCCGTCCGGGTCCTTCACAGCTTCGACTCCCAGCTCTGGGTTTGGGGTTCCGTGTGGGGTTTTGGCCCTTGGCTTCGGGGCCTTAGGGCTTCAGGGCGTAGATTCTCAGGCATCTTGCATTAAACACGTCTCAACTGAACAAGGCATGCGCACGTGCGAAAAAAAGCCAGTCCTGCATGATGCAATAGGATGCGACGTACCTTGGGAGCAGATGTCTAGCCGGAAACAGGTCGGCACACAATTCCGACTTCTGCACCGACTGACACATATAACTCGAGGGAAATGAATGCACATGGCGAACTGCAGCAAATCGGGTTGTCAGTACCAAACGATCTCCTGTCCATCGAAAGGCTTTGGATTGGCAACAGTCTTGGCACGACGGGAAACCCCACTTTTGCAGGCCAGTGTTGGCATTCTCCATTGAAGCTATGCTGCGTCGTCGATATTGCAGACACCCTGGCCGAAACTTTATGTAGGCCCTGTGCGCTTGTCCACAGTCCTGAAGACCCAGGCCACGTTGCTGTGTTGCTCTCACTGCCCGCGTCGGTGGACAAAGGCGATTGCTGGCTGAGCGGGTGTAAAGCCTCGTTGGAATGACAAGCTGCATCAGGTTTACTTCTGACCCTCAGGCTTGGCTTGGCCCTGGCTTCATGTCGAGGCTTCTGACTTCATCAGCAAGCGGGTTCCCCAAAACGTCTCTGAAACATGCGTGGAGTCGGACGAAATGAAAGATGCAAGCCGGCTCGAATTCAAGAGCTGTTTGCCTATGTGTGCCGGGAGGCATGATGCCACGACCAGCTTCCTGAGACCCGGATCGGACTGGAGATCTAAACAGCCCACCCTTTTGAAGCAAACGTCTGGGACATCGGAACACTAACTCGCGTGCTTCCCTTTCTGGGCCGGGTCTCATGACGCAGAGTTGCGTGGTAGATCAAGAAGTCCTGGGTGGGACGCAGGGAAGAATTCCATGCGGGTTGTCATCAGGCAAGCATGAGAGGGACAAAGTAAATCCGAATGGTTCGTAAAAAGACTCGGAGACATCAAGCTCGTCTGAATGGTTTGAAAAGGCGACAAACCTCTGCACTGCTGAAAATGAAGCAGCCCAGGCTCGCGATCTGTCAGCGGTGGCGCCTGAGGACTGGGATGCTCTCGCGTATTTGTTACGGATCCCTCTCTCGGCCAGGGAATCCCCGAGGCTGTTCCGGCACATGCGGGACTACGTGAAATAACTGGAAGACCGGCCTTGTTCATCCTATTTTCAAGCTTGATGCACAGGTGGAAATATGGTGTCACCCAACACGAAGTGCCCTCG